TGGTAGTCCTCGTTCTGCTCTCCAGGACATCTGCTATGAGCTAGAGGGCTATTCCAACCAGAACCTGTAGCAGGTGGAGAACTAGTTCATGTACTGCAACAACGCTCACAGAGGCTGAAGAGCAGAACAAGGATGCCATAATGTTCACCCATGACAGTCAACTACCATCGCCAGCTGCAGTCCATGACAATACAGCTGAAGTCCATCACCAGGATGAGAGACTTCCTGGAGAAGGAGCTAAATAGCATTAAGAACTGTCACAACATCAATCTGGCGAGTCTGCCAGTAGAGAAACAAAAAGATATGACTCACTATTTCCAGTCAGAACTGACAGAATAAAATCAAAGTGAAAACAGGATGCAGAGATTTGTGAGTTAGCCTTGTAGCCTTGAGCTCAAGTGAAAGGCTTTGTATCCAGGCAACCATATGCACAACTAATCACGTAATCACATGAGTTCATGATTCTACCCCAAAAGATTGTCATATCATCTTTTGGCTAAATCGCCCACCCCTGGTCCAGATGTATTTATGTTTTCCTTCAAACAGGCTGCGCATTGTATACATGCAGTACATCAAAATCTCATATCCATACCAAGCCAACATCTGGAGCACAAAGTCCCAACTATTACACAAAAATGACACGGCCATTACATGGTAATTATGGTGAGAGGCTGCATTCAGTCTGTCACAACTTCCTTGTTGTCAGTGGGAGAGGATAAGAGGGATTTGTGACACAAAGGGCCACAGCCAGGCACAGAAACTATTACTTCCACCCAGTTAGACCACAGACTGCACTGTCTGACCCATAGGGCTATGTAACACGACAGTGCAACTCAGTCACGATCATACATCAACCTTCACAGAGAACTTAGGACTCATCAAACATGGTGTGACGTAGAATTTTTTTAGCATTTGATTACTGACTTAAAGAAGTACAACAATGCTGTATGGAACAAGTACTAATGTTGTACACCTACATGAGTTAAAATATTTGACACATTCGCAAATTGACTAATGTCTTAACCAGGCACTAAGTCTGTCTGTCTGACAAACAGCTGCTTAATCCGGGGAGATATTTTTAAGAGCTCAGCCCATTTAATATTTTCCCAATTTGCTGCATCCTCCAAGCAGCTTACTCCAACTAGTGTGTTGTTTACAGCACAGTACAAGTCAGAGTCCCTTTTCATTTGGAAAGTTGAATCATGACCCAAAAACAAATATTGATCTCCTTGGCAACTGGCTTCCTCAACTACTGTCCCACCCACATCTTTGGTCCAGCCAAGTCTAGCCCCCTTGGAAAGCCTCGCACAGCTGGGTGCCAGGCTGGGAATAAAGAACAGGTCTCGGTATGACTTGCCATCCAATAATAATGCAGCTTTTGGGGAATTCATGAATCAGATCATTACTGATAACTAGAACCCAGAAAGCACTAGATTAGACCAATACAGCAAGAGAAGCAGGAAAGATGCCATTTGTAAAAGCTACCCACAATATGAAGACAACATGTACCCTCTGGAGGATTATTTAAACTGCTTACACTCTATATTACAAGACACACCACACCTGGAATGTCCTCACACTATCCTTCACAACAGAAGAAAAAACCTGAAGGGATAAAATGTGATTCATAATTCATGTATCACTGCCATCAACACAACACAGAGGCAATACGTCCAGGTGATTTCAGAAAATACTAAATTCAATGCATGGAATAGACAGCATTCATTTCAGTCTGTCACAGCATTTAAAAACACACCTCGTACAAAACAAAGTGTGCTATTATTGCATACCCAAATAAAAAGGCAGTTCACTGCAAAAGATCAGTCTCAGGAGCCTCAAACTGTGTCCCGTGAAATCACTGTATACTGCAGGATATTTTTACCAGATCCGGTACAAACAAACTTCTTATAAAAAATGTATGACATCTAGCTGAGAAATGCACTTTTCACTTTGCCTCCACTATGTACAAAAAACATGAAAATCGGGTATGAAGTAAATATTAGGGGCTCTAACGTTCTCCTTCATCACTCCTTTAAAATGTCAGTGTGGCCAAAGTCATGGCAAAACTGCTTCTGCTAACCTGTATTATTTTATTAGGCAAAGTAAAGGTCACAAAATAATGACTTGATCTGCAGTGCTGCCACTTGGTCAGAGCTGGTTAAGTCATTATACCACTTCATAAATATTTGTATCAATCCATACTATTTCCATCGACTGATGACAGAAACAGAAAAGGATGTAGATCAGAATATTTATATTGTGAATCAAGCTACATGCGACAACAGAGTGAGACTGAACAAGGGCTCAGACAGGGCTGTCTCCATTTCCCCTCTCTCAAATTTTTTTGCTCACTCTAATTACAAACATATAAAACTAGTTTGATGTGTGTTAAGACAAGTCAGCAACAATTTTAAGTCAGCTGTCAATAATTACAGACACGTGTATACATTCACAACATATGACATTTAGCAAAAAAATAAATAAAAATATGTGTGTAAAGCTAGCAAAGTGGAGGAAAGTACCAGGGTCACACATGGCTCACAGGCCCAGTGGACACACACACATACACAGACCACAATGGCAGCAGATCATGTCCAGCAGCTGCCGGATGCAGAGCTAAATTGTGGTGAGCAGGCATACGGAGGATGTAGATACACAGGTTTGTCAGATTGCCCAGCACAGGACTGGCAGATGGAAAAGGGACCACAAACAGGATGCTCTAACTTAAGGAGAAGAGTCAGCTTTGCTGAATAACAGTAATCATCATCAGGTGGTCCATGTTATTGCAATCCAACACACTTTTGGTCAGATTTAGTGAGGATCTCCTCAAGTTCTACTAAAAGAAATTTGATGTTTGGAGCTGGCCTGGCTCTGTAAATGGGAAACAAGCAAAATGGCTCAAGAATGGTTCAAGGACTTTTTTACAACAATGTTATTTTCAGTGACATACAGATGTTGAATGTTGTAGCTCTGCATGCACAAGGACAAGGTAATGGTGGGATCAAAATTTTAATTAATAAATGAGTTTTATCTAATATTACAGAAGTTCTGTATGACTGGGGATCAAGCCAAAGCCTGCTGACTGATAGTGGTGTGGCTTACTGAGGATGTAATGACTGAGAAGAACTGAACATACTGTAACCATGCAATGAAACTAAGCTGGCAAGGGCTACAGAGATACTCAAAGCCTGTTTCTCCCCCAATGCCTCTTAATGACAGGAGGATTAATTTTTCCTTTGGGTTATGGCTCTGATGCCACCCATCACACGATGTTAAATCATTCCCTGGCAGCACTTGGCAGCAAGCAGTGAGCTGGCAAAGAGTGGCAGAAAGTTCACGTCTTAGGAGTGACATGGAGAATATTATTTACTGAGTATGTGAACCTCCACGGTGATACTTCCCTACTCAGCCAGACAGTAAACATGTGAATCCTATGAGGAGCCACTGTAAACAAACATCATGATATGAAAACACATCTGAACCAGCTTATGATTTAAAGGCCAGGAGGAAAACACCTCTCGCTCGTTCTCACTGTAAAACACGGTGCAGCGAGGTTTTATAGTTGACCCTTTAAGAAACTATGAAAAGGTCCGTTATCCAAACTGAACAAGTGACAACAACATGGCAAAGAGTTGACATGGGGGTCAATCACAGCAAGCCCCCAAACAACGGAGGGGTCACGCAGGACACGGGTTGGGGCCAGGGCATTCCTGGCTGATGCAGTTGGGTTTGTCTGGGAAATGACTGAGCAAACAGGGGCCAGAGTGGCTTCCCCTTGCTGGCACCAGCGCTTTGTCCCTACTAATCCACTCCAAAGAGCCACAGTCAAACACCCAGCGCCATACAGTCACCAATAACAACACAGCACAGTCTGGGGGGACACGAAATGAATCCCACTGGCCAAATCTGGGAGACAGACGCCAGTTTGCTCATCAGATTTGAGCACAGAAAACAGTACGGCTTAGCTGTAGGACTGGGTGATGGTCACAGAGCAACTTTTTTGGGCAATCGAAGTGTGCAATAGTGCCTTCACTGGGGATGATGACGAGCTGCAGAGACAGCATTACTCACCATCACATACCTGTTTAGTCACAAGACAGTTACCTGTGCTTTAATATTACTGGAGGGCGTGATCAGTGGAGAGCCTAAAAATTTCTGCGACAAAGTATCAGGACTCATGATACAATGAAAGGCATAAAGATGGAGATGACAAGAGCAAGAGAAAGATTCAGATTCACCCACTGCTGAAGAGCAAGCTGTACAGATGTGGGGGATACGGATGAGTGGTTCTTGTGGCTGACATTAAAGCAGATCTCCTTTTCAGTGCCTTGTGATGTCTAATTTGATAAATAATGTCATATGCCGAGAGGAATATTTAAAATTAACAAGTCAACAGTGACCATTAAAGGGTTTTGGTTGAGTAAAGCAGAAATGCAATATGAACAGCGATCACATGAAGGAAGCATGACCTTTATACAGACATCAGACCACAGTGAGTGTAGAAATACGATGATCACAGTTCCTCATCTCCGGGAAGAGCTATGACTAATTATTTTTAGGACATCGCAGGCTTGAGTGTCTAACATGGAAAAAATACTGATAAAACCTAGAATTTATGAAAACTGAACAATAATCACCTGTGTAAGATATGTGTTTTTGAGAGACTTGAAACCCTGAGCCCTGCCAATTTAATATATCATTGAGTGAGTTAATGCTAGTCGTCCACGGTTACCAAGTTTATACTGAAAATCAAAGGTTCACGCTTTCGAGGGAACAGGTGTCTTGTCAAAACCTTCAACACTTAAAGTCCATACTATCATTACTGGAGCTTGATAAGAGCTACAGGTCAACTAGTTTAAATTCTAGCAAAAAATTAGGATAAGATGAAAAGACAAGACATTCGAGTGGGAACTACATCAGACTCATATGATATCTGTTTATGGTGTAGGTCTGAAAGACTCATGCATTAAAGCTAACAATTCAAGTTAGGAAGTACTCACTTGTCGTATTCTGCGTTGTCTTTATCACACCGTGCATCCTTGTGCTTCTGCCAGTCCTTCCCATGTTTACAAGTGGTGAGGAGGACCACATCCTCTGAGTTATGAACATGATATAAAGCATTCCTAGTGTCCGAACCTATTCCAGTTAGGTACCTCTTCCCCTTAAAAACAAGCATGTACTTCCTATAAGGGGGGATTGTGTTATGTTTCAGATAGCCCCTATCCCCTCCTGTCCTAGGGTGGTCTTTAGAGAAGAGAGGGATGGAAACGTCAAAGTTTGGCCGAAAGTTCTCTGTGCTGATGCTGGCTTTGGCCAGCATTGCGAGACCAATGTCAAAGCCAAGATCTTCTGTGTAGTCTGGCCAAGTGCCGGAGTATAGATTGAAGATGATGTGGTTTTTGCCTCCATTCCACAGAGGAAGGCTCTGGATTTTTGCTTTCAGGTTGTGTACATACTGGGGGGAAAGCTGGTCCCGGTCCAGAGTGTCCAAACTCAGGACAAACAAGCATGCCTGAGCTGGGTCAGGTGTATAGAACCTGGACCCTTCAATGGAGGATAAGATGTTCTGATAACTCTCGGACAGCTTCTCCCCTTTCTGCTGCGGGTACACGTAAACTTTAAATCCATTCCTCTCACACAGGGAGAAGTCGAAACAGGACTCCATTCTGCAGCGTTTCCCGGTGTAAAGGCCCGAGAGGGTGTCCCTCTTCTGCCTGGGAGATATGTGTTCATTGAGATCATCGCTCCGGTCCTGCTCCCAGGGACTGAACGGCTGCAGGTAACCCGGCAAGCGACGCCACCGCGCCCCGGGGTGAAAACCGGCGAGGCTGCGGTCATCACGCCGGTTGGGACCCCGTCTGGAAAGAGGGACTTGTATCCCCCCGAAACAGAACAACAGGACGAGACACGCACCGGCGGAGAACAGAAGTAAGTATCGTTTTTTGGCCTGCATGTGTCCGGCGATCTGGGATAAGATGCCCGGCGATAAATCCAAGAAGTCCCGAAGTTTTGGTTTCACCACCTCCTGCGGGAACGTTCCGCCATCTTCCCCCGGGCTGCAAGGGTTGTGCGCTCACTTCTCCCTCCTTCTGCTTCAGATGCCTTTCACAAGTCCGGGAACTGATCCAACGCATGTGGGCGATTTATAATGTTCATCCACCTCGTCTCCTCGTCAATAATGGTATCGGTTAACTGACAACAGGTTTTCCTATACAACACGGTGACCCGATGCGCTCGAATCAGGGCATCTGAAGTCGCACCCTACTTTCCTTTGTATAACGCCACCTTTACTTAGCCATAAGCGATCATTTTAGCACAGAGGAGTCGTTTCTAGCGAGCTACGAGCACACACGGAGCAACTACAACACCGCACACAATGAGTGCAAACTTGAGTAATGTTAAAGCAGCGGTGCGAGCCAGACTTGTTGCCTGGACAGTTAACTATTGTCCCCACTGGAAATTAGGAACCGAGCGAGCTCTGGAGCTCGAAACATTCAACATACCCGGTTAGACACGCTGCCACAAATCTCTCACTTACTGTATCGAAAGACACGAGTATCATTTTCACTGTTTGTTCAATCCACACCGCAAATGTCTCCGGCCGACTTAGCTAGCTAGCAGGCTACCTAACAAGCTAGTTTCTGAAAACATTCCGAGTTAGCTTGTTAGCTAAGCGGCTGCATCAAAGAGGCTTTAACGCTGGTTGGAAGTGCAGGCAGCCGGACAGTCTCTCCTTTCCCCCTAAAAAACATGTCTCTCCGTTCGTCCGCCACTTATCCTTCGCTCTTCCCGCGAAACCGACGGACTAATTTGTCCATGAATTTCTCCGGTCGTGTAAAAGTGTTCAAGTGGTAGCTCTCTCTCTCTTTCTCACACACACACATACACGCACACACACACACAAAAACAAGAGTGCTGTGGAGACTGCAAGCCACGCAAAGCAGCACGGCCGTCCCACCAGGACGACTGCTGATGATGATGTGACGTTCCTCCACGGCGCACGGTGCGTTACCATTGGCTCCAGTCACCTCCGAGGCGGGCGGGGCTTCCACTGCACCCATTCACAACCAGAGGGAAACCGAGCACAAGAAGAGCAGGGTCCTGTAGTGACTCAACCGCAGACGGAGTGTGAGCTGGAATTATGTGGTTTGCGTATTGAGCAATGGCAATCCATTCGAACAATTGAAAAGTAATCCGATTGCTAAATGCAGGAATATTTAATAAAACAAACTTACCCTAAAGCGTATTTGTAACAGAAGTGAGTACACCTCTGTGCTATATATTTTCACAAGTCACATGATTCCACGCTGGAAGGTGAACCAATGGTTAGCACTGTTGCCTCACAGCAAGAAGGTCACCGGTTCACATCCCGGTGATGACACTCGGGATCTTTCTGCGTGGAGTTTGTATGTTCTCCCCGTGCAGCATGGGTTCTCTCCGGGTTCTCCGGCTTCCTCCCACAAGGTCCAATAACATATTGATGGTGATTCTAAATTGTCCGTAGGTATGAATGTGAGTGTGCTTGGCTGTCTGTCTCTAAGTGTAGCCCTGTGATAGACTGGTGACCTGTCCAGGGTGTCCCCTGCCTTCGCCCTGAGTCAGCTGGGATAGACTCCAGCCCCCTGCAATGGTAGTGAGGATTAAGTGGTGTATAGATATTGGATGGATGGATGGATGACATGATTCAACATTGTATAATTTCCTAACTTTCTTTAATATAACAGAATTGTATTTCTCGAATGTAAAATTAAAAACTAACAGATTAGATTTACCATATTTAAAATACAGGCTCCCCAGGGTGCAACTTGCAAATGTTATTTCCCCACTAACTTGTTTTCATGTCTCACTGTCAAGACGATACATTCACTGAGGTAGTACGAACATGTAACAAAAGTCAGTACATTACCGAAAAAACAATCTATTTTTTTTCCACCTTTATTTTTGATAATAGAATCAATCATCCTTTTTTTTGAGGAAATGTCCTGCCATTCTTTAGACACATTTTTCCAGCTGCTCTTTGCTAGAGGAGCTGAGTTACTCTACCTTTTGTCTTTCAAATGCCCCAAAAGTCTTCTGTTGGGTTCAAGCCAGTCCAGATTCTTTGTCAGGGAATATTTTTCCTTTTTTTTTCCTTAAGAAACTATTGAGTAATTTTGACAGTGTGCCTCGGATCATAATTGTGCTGGAATATTTATCTTCTGCCAAGCTTCTGCAAACAGGGCGTCATGTTGTAGCCAGTGTTTTGATATATTCACAGGCATTCATGGTGCAAATGTCACCTCCCTAATGCTTTATTCACTCATGCAGCCCCATGTCATCGCACTTCCATCTACGTGCTTCACTGTCAGGACTATGCATTCACTGTGGTGGTACTGGACAGGTTATTGCTGAACATGGCAGTAACAGTACAGTCAGTACATTACTGAAATTAACAGAATTAATCCTCCTCGGCCTGGATGATTCAGGTCTGGTACAAATTTCTGGAGAAATGTTCTGCCATTCCTCAGGAAGATTTTTTTTAGCTGCTCTTTGCTTGAGCAGTCAAGTTGTTCTAGCATTTGTTTTAAAATACGTCTACTGGATTCAAGCCAGTAAACATTCTTGGCCAGATTATAGTTTTCACTTCTTCTTCTTCTTCTTCTTTAGAAAACTCTTGTGTGGTTTTGGCAGTGTTCTTTGTATCATCCTCTTCTGCCAAGCAACTGCAGACGGGAAGTATTCTTGCCAGCCAGTGTTTTAGTATATCCACAGGCATTCATGGTGCACTTTACAAATGTCACCTCCTTGAGACCTTTTTCGCTCACATAGCTGAATATAATCGCACACAGAGCTTCGTGTTGTGCTGTCAGGACTATGCATTCACTGTGGTAGTGCTGGATAGGTTATTGGCAAACATGCAGGCCCTCATCTGAGCCAAACAAATTTGTCTTGGTCTCATCTGACCAAGGAGTGTGCTCTTATCATTTGTTAGGCTTCTTTTCATCTTCTTTAGCAAAGTTTTATCTTGCAGCTTTGTGCTGAAAGAGCAAGCAAGTTTTACTTTAATTTTTTTTTTTGTCTTGAATGGCATTAATAGAAGTTTTTGTTGTTCTTCACGTTGTCTGAGCTGTAGCCTAACTGAGCCTTCTTTTAGGTTTCTTATTGGGCAATGTGGCTGGTGGGTTAAGGTTATATCAACACCTGTTTCCATATTAGATAGATAGATAGATAGATAGATAGATAGATAGATAGATAGATAGATAGATAGATAGATAGATAGATAGATAGATAGATAAGGCTCCAACAATAAACATACCACACATATGAAAACACACTTTAGACACAAGCTCACAAAGCAGAGATGTCTAACAGAACTGTTAAAAAGAAATAGCAGTTGATAAATTTACTGTTTAGTGTCTTAAAACACGCACACACACTACCCACTTGTGCACACTCAGCCTTGTCAGGAGTCGCTCCAACAGAGTAGCGCTCCGATCAGTCCTTCATCAGGCCCACAATCAGTTTTTTTTTTACTTTCTCTGGCATTTTTTTCCATGAAGAGCTATGATGCAGACAATATGCTGTATACAGACATTGCCATATGATAGGCAACGCCCTTAGATACAAAACTGAGAAAGCTCTGGTATTTACAGAACATTTTATAACCATATTCATGCAGTAAAGCTAACTGGAATTCACAGGATTACTCAGTTAAGTTTGTGACATCACAGGTGCATTCATTTTTGTTGCACTCAGTGCCTGTATTTTCAATATGGTCTTTCTAAAGTATTCATTGTTGATTGTTCATAAGGGGAAATACTCCACTGTTCAACTTAGAGATACCAATCAAGGGTGTACTTACTTCTGCTTCATACTACCTGTTCTGGTTCTTTTAATTCCATCACATGAGCTTCATTAGCTCACTGAGTTTGCCCAATTGTCAGTGAAATTGTGGATGGTAATATTTTCATTTATTTCTGAGCACACCCATGACTTCTTGTAGATTCCTGAGGTTATCTGGAGGACAAGTTTAAGGGGTGATCAATTTTTTTTGAACAACAAATTAAATGTTAAAAAAATTGACCTGTTGGTTTCACTAAGAGAAGGTTGTCAATGAAATCAGTAGACATTCTCCCCTGGGAACAATACATGTCGGCAATGCCAGATGGCAATCCGTTCATCAGTTGTTGACATATTGGAGGCTTGATCAATGTGCTGGACTGACAGACTGACAGACCATCATTGCCACACCTGACGTGGCCACAAGATATCTCTGGGATTTTAATCTTAACATTTTACTGCTTGAATTTGAACCATTATCACAAATCCAATGTAAAGAGGCCACAATAAAAGATGAACTCCAGTGGATTTGAAAGATCTGCTCGTGTTCCCAGCAGTCCCATCAATTGTGTGTTGCACCGCAGTCATGAAGGCCTGTCACATAAATTTGAGAGACAGCTACTAAATGCTTTCACCCCGTCATGACCCAGTTAGAATTCAGAGTGGATTCCCATGCTCTTTTAAAGACTAGCGTTCTGTTGCTTCCTGCTTATAAGCCAGAAAGGAGAAAATATTCTTAGGTAGAAAGTGATGCATAATTTTTGTTGAATTATTTTTGCATTTACATCCAGTAGTTTTGTGAAAATATTGATTATTTGCATTGGGATTTCCCTACATTTGTGTAATTTTGAATATTGTAACAAGATAAAAAACAAAAAATATAAAAGCAACAAGCTGATTTTCCCTTGTGGCGGTCTTTAAGTAAAGAACTAGTGGTCTGCTAAGTCAATAGAAATATGTGACAAAACAATCTCCACAATACAAAACAACTAAATATAATTGTTATCCGGAATTATTTGGTGTAAATGAAATCCCTCTTGGACTATTCTAAGCATTATTATTACATTACATTTTAGTTAAAACAGATTGCTAACTACAGAAAATACCACACAAACTCATTACAGACAGAAGACCACATCTCTAAAGCGTATTATACAGTATTGTTTGTTTTGTTTTTAACATGTATAAGTGGGATTATTGTAAAGAATGTTGGAACTATATGGCGACGACATGAAATGAAACACATCATTCTTATGTGCTTTTTAAATGGAGCGAGATTGACAAAAGTGTTGTCCATAATAATGCAGGATGGACAGTTTTGTAGCACTGCTCTGTCACCATAAACCATCCAGGAAGAGAGCTGGTGGAGTGACGTTATGCCTTAAAGAGGGCTTGGTTTCAGGTTCCAATATTGACCAGTGTTTCTGCAGCTGAGAGATTGATATATGTCTGTTGAAAGAATTAAAAGCAAAATTTGGGTGATTCTTGGACCTTCCAATGCATTGTAATGGACAGTTGTAGTCCAGCATGCTCCTGTCCTGCTAAAGTGTCCAGTGCTGCTGTGTAACTGAACATCACCTCTGATCCCTCCGCTGGGTGTTAAACAACAAGAGAACTCCATGCTTTTCAATCTAAAGTGAAATACAATACAATAGAAAACATTAGGCAAGAAGAGAATGGAGTTCTCCCTGAGAGGAATTGCACTGGTGAATGAGGACCGGCAGGACAATGGCACTGCAGTGAATTAGCCAGGTCTTTTCTGGCATGTAGTAAGCCATGATGTGTTTTCACAGCTGCTGTAGTCTGAAAGACTAGAAGTGATTTTGCAGAAGCGGGGAAAGAGCAAGGAGGAATGTGAAGCTGCGTTCCTCAGGAGCTGTGGACCAGCTATCTGCACTGCCTCGGTACCCCATGGACCACTGATCAAAGACGGGGAGGGATATGACGGCCACCTCCTCATTCTCTACCTCCTCCCTTTCTCTTTGTCTCTCCTCTTTCTGTCTCACTCACCCCACTCCTGCCTTCTCCCCCTCTTACCCTTTCTATCAGTCCTTCTTCTGCTCTCTGGCATTCTTTCCATCTTTC